TCTATTAAATTATATAAAAGAATGCAATTCACGTTTGTTTATAATACACAATCAACTAGTATTCCAAAAATACCTCTGTTGTCTATTTTGTTTTTGATTATTCACTTCCAACATAATGTACACAAAACTGACAGGCATACTAAAAGAGACAAAATAGAATAAGCAACAAATTATCAGCACCTTTTATGTTTAGGTGAGACAAATTACAACAACTGAACTGAGTAAAATCTATTACCCAGGTTTAACATTTGCATGTGAATACAATAAGCATGATGCAAATGTAAAAAGATGCTACTCACAGCACAATATGTTGCTCCATTTGCATTGCATTAGTGTTTAGAGCACTCAGATGGCTGTTCTCCATTCGTCACTCATGTCTGTCCCATTAAAATGGAACTGGGACAACAGTCCTTAATGTACACCAGCAGAGGACAGAACAGGAGGACAGGACATATTTCATGTGATCTGTGGTTAACATTCAAGAATAACTATCTTTACATTGCATGATATGGAATATGGGTATATACTGTAAATTGATTAATGTTTTCCTTAGATATCATTTTTAAATTCATTAAAGGTTCAAAGAGACAGGAGGTTCATTGTTTTCATTAAATGTCAAAATAATTCCTGCACATTCTAACTTTTTTCATTAAAACTAAGTAAACAAAAATACATATGCCAGTACAAACCATGTTACTTCAAGAAAAAAAAGAAAAGAAAAAAGTCAAACTTGCTGAAGTGTAGCACAAAGCTTAAATCGCAGACCCATGCCAATTCCACAAAGTAATGTAGTGTGGAATTTTGCAGTTTTCGAACAGCGAAGCTCACAAATCTAAATCTGGTGTCATGAATTATTGAAGACCCTTTATGGAGCTTTCGCCACTGCTGAATATGAAGCTCTGTACAAGCCTGAGATCAAACACAACCTTGGATAATAAGAGTTAAATTTAATGCTAAAAGTAGTTTCTACTATAAAAAAAGTTCACATTGGTTTAGGTTTAATGAAAAATGAACTTGCAAGGGTAAAGGGTGTCAAAGTACGAAGACAAGGCACACTCTTGAGATGGTCAGTGTTAGTAATGTCCATGGCAATTACCTCCATGAGAAACTACACAGGGAAATGAAAAAGGTAACAGGATGAGATTAGATGACAAGTTGATGTCTGGCTGGATCATTCCCCACTCAAACAGCAAGGAAAATTGAGTCCGTTGTACTATCAGCCATCAGGAAATACAATATGAGAATTGGCCTCTTATGAGCCCTGAGGTAATGTAGCAACACCAGAGATCCAACAGTGTACGGGTCTACAACAAAACTCTTCAACCATGTACAGCAACACAGTTTATGACAGGCAGCCCACGATTCCCCTCTGGCTGTCCTTGTATTCATGCTGACCCTATAGTTGTGTTAACCATAAACCATTTAAATTAAATATGGCAATTTTAATTTATTCAGTCTCATTAATATTACACCTACACGCATTCATTGTAAATTCAAGTCAGTTTACCATAAAGTTAGCTCTCAGCATGGCTTTCAATTTTATTCAACCTCTCTCACCTCAGCACTCAGCAGTTGTTGAGGTGATACAGTTGAATTGCATCAGTGTAGAAGCAATTTTGAAACGTATAATGAGAATCAAGAAAAGGTGAAAGTGTTTTTGCTTCCAAAACAGATAAAGCCTGAAGCCAGATTTAAGTTTTTTTTTCTTCTGAGGAAAAAATATTTCTCCAGTGTGCATAACATTTAAAACAGCACAGCTATATATTAAAGGGGGAACAAAGCCAGTCATTTACTTTTTTTGCGGAATCTTCACTAGAGTGAATGTGTCTATAAAATTTAGAGAGAAAAGTAGGTTGCTAAAATGCACTTAATTTGGCATGATAGATTGGGTGCACGCTTCAGTGACTGTAATTGAATCTGTGACCTATTTCCTCAGAAGAAAATGGTCTCTTGGGTTTGTTTTTTTCCATACATTTCAATGGAATTCAATAGACTGTCTTCAGATTTGTACATTTACAGCCTAGTGTTAATAATTCTCCTTGAAACGTGTATATAAAGCAATTGATCTCTGTTCAATCATTCTTGCCTTAATGGAATAGATGTACATTTATAAAGATGGCATATGTTTAAGAATGATATCTTGCTTGAATAATTTTTAATCAAATCCTTGTCACTGTAATCACAAAAACATGATTATAATTAATCAATAATTTAGCTGCAGTAACCCAGAATATAGTGGGTATAGAAAAGAATCACCCCCCTTTAAAATAATCACATTTTGTTGCTTTGCAGCCTGAAATGAAGACAGTGAAATGAAGACGGACACCGTTTTTGTTTTATCCAGCTGTATTTACTCAGTGCAACTTATGTTTAACATTTAACTTCCAAGTGACAGATATAACACCAACATGTCAGAAAAAAAATCAAATCAACCCCTTGTGTCAGTATTTTGTTGAACCACCTTTTGCTTTAATTACAGCATTTAGACTGTTGGGATATGTCTCTACTAACTTCTGTCTAGACTTTGCAATATTTGCCCACTCTTCTTTGCAGAACTGCTCAAGTTCAGTTCAACTTGATGGTGAGCATTTGTAGACTGCAGTCTTCAAGTCATTCCACAGATTTTAAATGGGGTTTTAGTCTGGGCTCTGATCAAGCCATGCAAGGACATTCAGCTTTTTCTCCTTCAACCAATGTGTGCTCAGTTTTGCTGTGTGCTTTGGGTCATTGTCATGTTGGAAGGTAAACCAAGTTCTTCCCATTGACAACTTTCTGGCAGCAGATTTTCCTCAAGGATTTGACGGTATTGGTTATTTGACGCCATTAATTTTTCCTTCTATCCAGACAAGTGCTCCAGTCCCTGCTGCAGTAAAACACCCTCATAACAGGACATTACCCCCTCCATGCTTTACTGTAGGAATGCTGTTATTTGGATGCTGAGCTGTATTGGACTTCTGCCAGATATATCGTTTGGTTTTGAGGCCAAATAATTCAATTTTAGTCTCATCTGTCTCAGAATCTTCAGTGTGTTTTGGCAAAGCTCAGTCGTGACTGCATGTGGCCTTTGTTGAGGAGTGGCTTTTTTCTTGCAAACCTCTCATACAAGCCACATTTGTGGAGAATTTGTGATGTTGTTGTCACATGCACACAATGACCACTCTTTGTCATAAATTCCTGCAGCTGCTTCAGGTTGCCTCTCTGACCAGTCTCCTCCTGGCTTTTTCATCCAGTTTGGAGTGACATCCTGATCCAGGGAGGGTCTGTGTTGTACCAAAAACCTTCCACTTCTTAATAATAGACTTCACTGTGCTTATAGGCAGTGATAACGCCTTTGAAATGTTTTTGTATCCATCTCCTGACATGTGCCCGTCCACAACTTTATCCTGGAGATCTTTTGACAGTGCCTTGCCAGCCATAGTTGATTGTTTGCTCCAGTTGCACTACCAAGGACTGAAATGCTCCAGGAAAGCTCTTTTCATGCTGAGCTGATCAAAATGACTGCAGCTGATCACAGTTGAAAGTCAAATGGCTTTGTGTGCCATTGAGAAGGTGATTAGCTACACCTGATTGAGTTTACAAATCATTTTTAGGAGGGGGTGATCCTTTTTCCAACTCCGTGATTCTGGCTTTTTATTATTTTTATTTTTTTCTGACATGTTGGTGTTATACCTTTCATTTGGATGTTAGAAGTTGCACTGAGTAAAATACAGCTGGATAAAACAAAAACAGTGTCTGTCTTCATTTCAGGTTACAAAGCAACAAAATGTGATTATTTTAAAGGGGGGTGATTATTTTCTATACCCACTATCTCAAAATCACACTGCAGTCTACAGTCTAGATGCTACTCCTTAATTTTTTCTGCCTTTCCCATTGGGCTTGGGTACAGTCTGATTTTAGTAAGTGACACAGCAAGAAAAAACAATTATAATAAATGTACAGACGCTTTCCGCTCAGAGTCTGATTCACTTGTTTTTTGCCAGGAACAGCAGTAAAGTACTTTTTCCCCAACTACTGAAGCCAGTAATCTAATTCGGATGTTTCACCATCCAAAACAATCAGTTCTCTCCATATTTAACTTACGGTCAGAACACAATTGTGGTCCTTCAGAGCATGAGGGAAATAGAGAGGGTAGCAGGTAATGAAAAGACATGTTTGGCATTTAGTCTGCGCTGTCAGCTGAAATCGCTACAGAAATAAATGCTTACAGAAACAGATGCTGTGCAGACGTCTAACAAAAATCAGCCGCAAATCAGCACAAAAAAAAACAAAACATGAATGAGCGAGCTGATGAAAGGATGGATTCTATTTCTCTTGACTGCCAAAAACTAAGTAGATTAAAACGATATCCGATTCTTGAACTAAGAGAAACAGCTTGAGACATTAAAAAGCAAGAAATAAAAATTGTGTTGACATTAGCAAAGTTGAGAACATATCACAGAACACACTGCCTAGCATTCAGAATTCAGTGATGGTTCATTTATTTATAAATATTCTGTATTCAATATAACCATAAATTAGCAATTCCTCTATTCAAGTTTGTCATTCCATCCGTGGGATATAGTGGAATTAGAGGTGGGCGATATGACTGTGTGTGTGTGTCTGTGCGCACGTGCGCGCATGAGCTCGCACAAATTATTTAAACGCTTCATGGAAATGGTATGAACTACGTCAGAAATACGGGGGTAAGTTCAGTTACTGTCTGCGTACTGAATGGCTTTGTAATGTTTTGCCAGAATTAGACCATTTCATTCTAAAATTTATCTTTTAAGGGCATATTTTTTTTCAAGTAAATGTCTGCGACGTGCCGAATCCGACGATAAGTTAGATCCATCAATTTTATGTTGAGCATTTTCGCGCTCTTTTTTCCTCAGGTAACGTTAAATACTTTTATAACGTTAAACCACGATATTACTGGTATGTAATATTATTTGTTACTTAAAGGTGAATGCTTGTATTGCTTTACAACTAGGAGACCAGTATAAAAATGTAATGAAAATGCACTCTGATTTTATTTTTCACAGTTATTTTTAACAGTGTCGATTCTGCCCTCCAGATTGGAGACTAGATTGACATAAACTCAATTCAGTGGTGAGATGGCTAGCTAGGGTTGCCTATGGCAACGTTCTGTATAATATGGAATAGTCATTTTAAAATCATAGCATGCAAGAACACTCTGTTTGACACACGAAAGCAAGAAATAAAAATTGTGTTGACATTAGCAAAGTTGAGAACATATCACAGAACACACTGCCTAGCATTCAGAATTCAGTGATGGTTCATTTATTTATAAATATTCTGTATTCAATATAACCATAAATTAGCAATTCCTCTATTCAAGTTTGTCATTCCATCCGTGGGATATAGTGGAATTAGAGGTGGGCGATATGACCAAAGCCTTTTATCACAATATTAATATGAAATTTTGACTGAAATTACCATTGAAATTTTAGAATTCTCATCACCGATTTTGTTATCATAAAAAAAACTAAAACTAGCCCAACTAACAAGTTTTTTTCTCTCTCTCAAGCTTACTGAAAACAAGTAAACAGTCAGTGATAAAATAAGAATAAAATAAACTAATTATAAGCAATAGGACAAATATATACAATAGAACAAAGACACAAATGAAATAGACTTAATCGAAAAGTTCAAGCTTCACCATTCATCTAAATACTACATAAATTTAAGAAAGTTATAAAACATTAAAAACCCTTCATAGTCTTCACTGTACAAATTAAATATACATTTACCCTTATTAAAGTTACACAAGTGATTCAGTCAAGAGCAGTGTGTGATTTTCTCTGTCTTTTGTTGTTTGATTTATATTAACAACACAGACAGCAGCAGGCAGGGGCGGACTGGGACACAATTTCAGGCTGGAAAATTTCACACATCCTATACACCCACAGAAAATTCTGAAATCACATACAAGTGGAATGAAATGAACTGAACCCTCGTGGACATTTTAAAATATGAATATAATCCCTAAATATTAGTAGCTGTAAACATTCAACCACAATTATATACATCTATACATTCACATATCTCCAATCTCACACTCTAAAAAGTGCTGGGTTATTTCTGTAAACACATTTTTGGGTTGCAAGAACACCCTGTTTGACAAACGTTTTCTTAATCTGAAATTATATTCTAGGTATGTGAGAATCTTGCTGGTGCAGATGGACAAGGAATGGTGGCTTGACACCCTGGCTGACATCTTTAAAGGTTACATCTAACATGAGCCTCTCTTGTTTTCTTTACTCTCAAGTAGGGCTGTGTGATATAGTTACAAAAAAAAAACCTATCGCGATTTCTTGATCAATTTTGCGATTTTGATTTTAATCACGATTTTGACACACACAGACATGCTTTACAGTCATAAATGCATTCAGTATGAATTTGAAACATATTTCCAAAAGAAAACCAATTAGAGCTTTATCAAGAAGCTGTAACATGTCTCTAGAACAGACATAAGGCAAAATAAACAACAAAATAGACATATGGCAGGTCATAGAGCTCTTTGTGACGTTGCCTCAGATGTTGAACTAGATTTGTTTCGCCAAGTTCACACGTACTCCGTCTGCATGGGATATAGTGGAATTAGAGGTGGGCGATATGACCAAAGCCTTTTATCACAATATTAATATGAAATTTTGACTGAAATTACCATTGAAATTTTAGAATTCTCATCACCGATTTTGTTATCATAAAAAAAACTAAAACTAGCCCAACTAACAAGTTTTTTTCTCTCTCTCAAGCTTACTGAAAACAAGTAAACAGTCAGTGATAAAATAAGAATAAAATAAACTAATTATAAGCAATAGGACAAATATATACAATAGAACAAAGACACAAATGAAATAGACTTAATCGAAAAGTTCAAGCTTCACCATTCATCTAAATACTACATAAATTTAAGAAAGTTATAAAACATTAAAAACCCTTCATAGTCTTCACTGTACAAATTAAATATACATTTACCCTTATTAAAGTTACACAAGTGATTCAGTCAAGAGCAGTGTGTGATTTTCTCTGTCTTTTGTTGTTTGATTTATATTAACAACACAGACAGCAGCAGGCAGGGGCGGACTGGGACACAATTTCAGGCTGGAAAATTTCACACATCCTATACACCCACAGAAAATTCTGAAATCACATACAAGTGGAATGAAATGAACTGAACCCTCGTGGACATTTTAAAATATGAATATAATCCCTAAATATTAGTAGCTGTAAACATTCAACCACAATTATATACATCTATACATTCACATATCTCCAATCTCACACTCTAAAAAGTGCTGGGTTATTTCTGTAAACACATTTTTGGGTTAATTGTGCTGGGTCATAATTCTGGGTTGTTTGAGGTAATGTAAACACACAGTTGGGTTGCTCATGCTGGGTCAAATGGACTGTAAGGGGTTCTTTCACCACTGAACAGCTGGGTTGGGTTATTTTGACCCAACAGGTTTATTTATTTTTCCTCTTCATCGAACTTTCTGGATTCTTCACTCGTCTCGTCGTCAGACGGTCACGCACATTGCAAGCAGGATTATAAGGTAAGTTAATATGATGATATGATTATTTACCTCTATTTTTAATAAGTTGTGGTAAGAGCACACTGATTTCTCTGTTTAATGCATATTTGATCTGTCGCTGTGCCAGGTACCGTTATTCTGTGAATGATTAAGTAGCCGCCTAGCGAGGTACATTTTATTTTTAATGGCCTCAATAATCGCCTTATCGTTAATTAAAGTTATATATATATATATATATATATATATATATATATATATATATATATTGACAGATAATAATTTAATTCATA